TAATTAACGGAGTTTGAAATGTCGATCAAGGAATGAGAGCTAAATAATGGTTTGGTTATAACAACACATTATACAAATGTGTGCAAAACAACTCGTTTAAACGTTTTGTTTCTACAGCAAACTAATCTTGGATTTTCAAAAAAAATGGTGAATGCCATAGTACAGAAATGCTTAATATATTTTACTTTTTGCGGTGATGAAAATAGATAGTTTAGAGGCCTAGAGTAATGACTGATTTCTATTCATGCACGTACCTACCTACAAGGCACTAAAAATTTGGAAGTTTTATTATAAGGCACTTGTGTGAAAACCAGCACTATACAAGTAGTAACGTCACTTTAACTTAATTTTCTGACGTTAATTAAAACTTTATTAAAGAATATCAAGAATTTTCAATTATAGTTCTGTTACATACAGTAATATAAGATAGGCAAGAATTAAGCGTTCTACGTACAAAGTTTACGTACAAGATATTAAACTTTATGGAGATTTCTTCCATTATAAGAATCAGGATAAACAAACGATATAGGTACCTAAGTGGTAACCGATGATCATTTACATTTTCACAAATCTAAGAACCCCAGTAAGTATATTTATTTCATAAATACTAAAAGCGAATTATATATTTCTAGAGATGTTTCCGAATGTAAATTGTTAATCATATTTTTTGGTTGAAGGATATCGACAGATGATTCAGTACTTAGGCATTGCAATTTATAATTATGAGAATATTTATATGTAAATCTAGGATTTTATACATGTTGGTATAATGAATATTTTCAGAACCAGCTGATCAACAACGATTTTAATACCAACAAAGTGAAATGGCTCTACCAGCCAATCCAAATGGGAAATATATTAAGGTAAATTATGTATTTATGAAAAGATTTAGAATATTTCAGACTTATCAAAGCGCAAACTAATGACTTTTAAAGATGGCAATTTTCTTAAAATATTAATATTATATTAAAATATTGATATCGATATATTAGTTTAAGTATATTATGATAATTATACAGACTCGTTCGCAAGGCACTGCGTTTGTGCGTGGTAGCCATGCCTGTGAATATTCCATTGGACGGAGGCAGTAAGGATGTTTCACATAATATACATTGCCTAAAGAATATTTCCGGATACATCTATCTGCCTACTTAGTGTTATAAGTTTCAATGGTCTGAAGCAAAAATATATAATAATTAAAAATACACACGAAAAGATGGTTAATAAATCAGCTTCAGAACTGCGTAGGTTATAACTATTTGTTCAATGTAACATTTATTTTTAGCTGGGGACCGTCAAACCTTAAAATGCTAGATGGGCCGATATATGTGTCCGGAAGTGTAGTTCATAACTTTACGATAATGCACTAATATACTTCTATTCTTTTGTACGTATAGGTACGATAAATACTTAAAAACGATTCTGTGTTATACATTAAATCAGGCAAAGCTTGTTAGTGATATATTATTTCGAAATAAGGAAAAATGTATTAAATCGAGACTAGAAAGTGTAATAAAAGCATTTCCGAATTCAACGACTTACACTTCTTTGAGATTTCTTTGCTTGACATCCAGATAACAAATATGTTTTGTTCATGTTAATGTATTCTTAAATTTCACATTTTTCCTACCTTTGCTTTATTTAATAATTTCTAGAACATGTACAGTCGCGTAAAGTGTTTTATTTATTCTTGTTATAAATATAATATAATAAATACTTGTAATTTTATTGAGTCCATGTGGTCTAATGATTTTTTTTTTACTTTTAACATTTCGTTTATATTTTGTGATATATATAAATAACACAAAAGTTACTACTATCTACTTGTAAGTCGTTAAATTCGAAAACGCGCCTGTTTCTACATTAGAACTAACATCTAAAACTAACATTACCTAATAATTACTAAATTGTAAAGATAACTATAATATCTTGGATATTTCTTGCTCTCTTATCAAATAACTTATAATAAATAAACTAATCATATCTAACAAATACTTAGAGCTTACGTAACGGATGTTTGAGGCGACACTGGTTGCTGACGCAGTGAGCAAATCTTTCAAGAAATATGCCTACATGAAGTTTTATTTAATATCATAAGGACCTCCATAATGTTTTTCAATTCGAGTTCAAGTCAAGGTAAACGTTCCGACGTTTGTGAATGTAAAATAAGGGCTGGATGACGGTCGCAGACGGCTTATGACTTTAAAATAAAGGATGAATTTGTAAATTCAAGTATTATATAGGGCATTGTTGAGTTGAGTGTTGTTTATGCGATACATCAATATTATGCATCATTTGTTTCGAGCGTCGGTGGGGTATGTCAATGTCATTGATCGAATGATCTAATTTACATTACCTACTATAAAGAGAAAATTTAACTGCAAAAAGATTTTATGTTTTGAGGGTAGGTGTATTGCTATTGCCTTTACAAAATTAAATGGCAAAGAAACGGTACAAACGAAGTTTTATGAAAGCAACAGTGTCGCGAAACTCACCGTCCCGTCAATTAATATTTATCTTTTCAAATGTACATATATATTTATATAATTTGTGCTTTACCATTACATTAGGTATGTTGCTCCATTGACGACTGTTCTAGCCTTTTACGATAACATTAAAGTATAAAGCAATTTCCTTGGTAATGCTGTTGAATGTTGTACCTATTGTGACTTTATAGACATGAAAATTGATATTATGGTTAACTGGTTATTTCGTGATAGGCACTCACGCAACCCTTTCCATCGTAATGCAGCTTACATTATGAGGAAAAGAAATGTTAAAAATATATTATAAAAAATAACTAGATATATAATACAACTCCGTCACTTTAAATCGATCTGATTTGGACACGGTTGATTAATTTTTCAAGTGAAGATAAACTTCGTTCACATGAAATCACCGACCCTGAAAATACTGTGATTGAAGTGTATTTTAATACTTTGGATGCTAAGAGCAGTTAGGTTGATCTGTTATAACCTAAGGTACATTTTTAAGTATCTGCAGGGTTGCGCTCAACGTCATCGCGTGCTGCGACCAGTTTCGACCGAGGAAGGCACCATTTCAGTTACAGCACTCCGTAGAACGTATCCATGAGAGTCGCGTCCAGGTCGCACTCCAGAAAGATGCTCTCACTGCATTCCTCCTGCAATTTCACAATAAACTTGATATTAATAAGGTAACATAAGCGCTCAGTGGGTAGGATCCCCACGAAGTCTAGCGAAGGTCATGGTAAGCCACTACACGCGAATAGCGCAGAGCGATTGATGTGGATATTCTTAGGGGTGGCTTATACTCAGCAGTGGGCGTCATACGACTCATAATATTATGATGATAATATGAGTTATTGAAGTCTCTTCTTCAACGGTTGGCTCATCGTCACCAGCCTATTAATGCCGAACTGCTGGGGCATATGCCTTCCCGTTAGATGCAATAGGGATTAGGAAGAATGGGTCAGTGTAAATGCAAAATAAACATCTTGCGTCAAATTCGTGCACAGCCTGCACCTGATCAGCCAGAACCCAAACATTCTTCATCATTTGGTTCAAAGGTCTACAACATAAAGTTGTCCAAAAAGAGCGTGAAAGAATCTTACAGGGTTGACAATGGCCTCACATCTTTAAAGAGTAGAGCTCCGCTTACCATAGGGTAGGCTGTATGCTTGCCACCTTATTGGTATAAATAAAATAAAAATTAAGAAGTAAACCTGTGCCGGGACTGAAACTCTGAGAAGAGCGTTTGGTCTTCGATCATGGAAGTTAAGCAACTTTTGCATTGGCCAGTCATTGGATGGGTGATCAAAAAGTTATTGTCTCTAGATCCTCCGTAGTTCGGAAGGCACGTCAAGCCGTTGTTCCAGCTGCACCTGCAGTCGTTAAACAAATCTTGACTGGGCCCACGTTGTGGGTTATAATGGCCCATTTACCCGTATGCCATCCATAGGGAGGGCCTGTACCCTGACAGTGGGGATATTAATAGTGTGACATAGAGCAATAGGGACGTGTCATGGCCAGGCACGTCATGTTCCCCCCTGGGACCTAGAAGATTCCATTCTCCCGGATGTATACCAGGGGAAAGCAGCGGCCCGGGAGCGAGGAAAGAGAACCACCCTCGAGGAATTAGTGCATATAAGGCGAGAAACAGAAGAGGCTCAGATGAAAGCTTGGAAACTCCGTCCGGGTAACCCTACATGGGATGTCCGGACTGTAGCAATCCATCCGGTCTTGGAGGAGTGGACAAGCAGAAAGTTTGGGGTACTGACCCACAGGCTTATGCAGGTGCTGTCTGGGCAAGGGTGCTTTGGGAAGTACCTGCATCAAATTTAAAGGGAGGTGGCCCCGCTGTGCCACGAGTGCGGCGCTGCTGTAGACACAGCACAACACACCCTTGAGGAGTGTCCGGCATGGTCGCAGCAGCGGCCACACTCTGGTAGCGGCTGTGGGACAGGATCTCTCCCTGTCCAGCGTGGTACGTGCCATGCTGGGCAGCGACAGATCCTGGAAGGCGGTGGCCTCTTTCTCCGACACAGGAGAGGGAGCTAGGAGGCGGCGAGCTCGAGTCCGCCCTTAGCCCCCCGGCAGGCCTTCTATGATTGCCCTGTAGGGGATGCACCCTAGCATCAACACGACGGGGTAGTGGGACAATTGCACATGACGTGCAGTGACTCCCAATCCGGGGACCCATAGTTGTGTTCAATCAGTGCGGGGTATAAATAAAAAAGGCACGATATGTTGCTCCGATGATGATGAAACAATGCACATCATGTTTCTTCGATTATGATTGAAACCAAAGACGTGTTGCTCTGAGGCCCAAGCCCAAAACTAAGCGGCGCCCTTACCGGACGTAAGAACAAACTGGCTCATTCCATACAAATCTTGACGATGACGATACGGTTAAAATAAAACGGTTGTACTTGGGCCTCTGATGATTATGAAGCCAATGACTAAAATCCTCACCTGTGTGGACTGAGACTCGGGCGGCTGGTCGCCGCCCCTCCTCGCGTGTCATTTAGACGTCTTGGGCAGGTGGCGCTTCATATGCAGCGCGAGGTGGTCGGAGCGCGCGAACGACCGCTCGCACACTGCACATTTGAACGGCTTGGCGCCGGTGTGTTTGCGATAATGGCGTGTCAACTCGTCCGATCTTGCGAACCGCCATTCGCATTCCGGCCATTGGCAGGTGTAAGGTTTCTCTCCTATTCAAACACATCGACTATTACTCGTAGCTGAAAGTTTTCGGGAAACCACTATTGTTTGCCCCGGGATAAAACAAAGGTCGTAGTTCGAATTCAGTTGAGGAGACATGAGGGTTTTCTGTAATGACGGACACCAGGTGGTAGCACTGCAGAAAGGTCTACCCATCTGTCAAATCGTGTTATTCAGAGTCTATGGATCAATGTAAATGCTCGTTGGATTAGTTCGCGTCAAAAACTTCACACAAAAGACTTCACGTCAACAATGGCGCTAACTGGTAACGTAAATTTTCATAAACACTCTCAATTGCTTTTGATGTAGAGGTTTCTTTGTTGTCGAGGCGCTGTATACGAGCTACCTTTTCTTGTAATCGGAGCAATATTTGCAATGAGCTAGAGAACTGGTATGGCGCGTGAGTGTTGCGCGATTTGCTCTCTGCACTTTGCAGGATTTGCCCTAGGCCTTGTGGCGCTACCTCTCACCGGGCACTGCCCGACCATTGTGCGCCGGTGGTTACACATACTAAATACTTACCTATCTTTAGTTACAAATTTAGGTTATCATCCATCTTTTAGATGAAGTTAAACTAGATTATAGTGGCGGTAACAATAATTCAATCGCAAAGCCTTGTTAAATAATAATAAAACAATATCATAGGAAAATCGCATCAGCTACAACTTTAAAGTACGTCCAAAGATAATTCGCATTAGCTGGCTATAATATTATGAATATTACAAAACAAAACAATGGTGAACAAAAGTAATGAACATACTCATATTTACCTGTATGTATTCTCTGGTGAGCTTTTAGGTGTGAACTCTTCGTGTAAACTTTCGTACAACCTGCAAAAAACATTAGATGTTGTTAAAAACACCAGCTATCAAAAATTGCATTTTTAGAGAGGTACTCCACTAAAACAAAGACGTGAGTTAATAAGCGCGATGGATGCGTATGTTTCTCGAAAATGCAGAGCTTAATGAAGCCGACGATTTGGATCATCCATATTATGTTAACGAGCACACATAGGTAAGTATCCACAAACATTATGTTTAAAAGCTTTATAAGATTATGTACCTAAGTTTTATTCTATCCTTTGTATATTTAAATATATGTACAACCATTAAAATGGCCTCCTTTTCTATTTTACAGAACAAATACCAGATAAAAATATTATCAAACCAACGTTCACTTTTTGAACGGTTAAAAAGGGGTCTTTTATTTTCTTTGACGTTTCATCTTGCGACCACGGAGTCTGTAAAGGGTCCTAAAAGTCAATAAAAATGAAAATAAATTTAATAAAAGATAAATCTTTGCTAACATAAGTTCTTGAATGGAGACCACGACTCGGTAAACGTAGTGTAGGACGCTCTGAGACAAGATGAGATGATGACATTCATAGGCTGGATGAGAGTGGCTAAAAATCGCGAGCAGTGGCGTGCATTAGGGGAGACTTATGTCCAGCAGTGGACGAGCATGGGTTGATGATGATGATGATGAAATCTTTGCTGCTATACTTCTTCAAAAAGGTATAAAGGTAAAATAATTGGTGTGCGTGAAAACTTAAGATATAAATATAGATATTTATCTATGTACCGATGAAGTCACAGTGATGAACCCTCCGCTTCTCTAGCTCGGGGTTGTTCCGCCGGTTGTATTTGACGAGTGGCGGGGGCGCGAGCCGCGAGTGCGGCATGTTCGTGTGCGGCGGCGGCAGCGGCTGCGGTTGCGGTTGCGGCTGCGGCTGATGCGGCATGTGAAGTTGTTGCGACATCACCTGACACAACAACAAACACCATACTTTCATTTTATGTGGTAAACAAATTGAAAGTACTTATACTTAATTACCTGCACAATTTTTAAAGAAAATCAATACTTCATGAAATCAAAAACATTACTAGAAATTTATATTTAAAGCAAACAAAAAGTATGTAAATACCTAATGAGGGTGTTTATTGAAATTTACGTGACCAGTTGGCGTGACTGTGGTGAGGAAAGAAAAGAGGTTTTTTAAAGTTTTTGGCGCGAACTAATTGAACGAGCATTTACATTGATCCATAGACTAATGACGACCTATGCGATTTGAACATAGAGCATCACGACCGACGCCACGTCGGCCGTGTTGGATTTGAAGTATGCGTAGTGCATTCGCCTTAGTGGTGCTGCCTCCAGAAAATCCCCATTTCACATTTTTGAGGAAAAGCGATACTAGTTCGGTAACTGCATTTAAAAAAAATATAAATTAATTATCTAATAAACAGGCCTCTTTTGCACAGCCTAAGAAAATTATACTAGAAAAAATCTACTCGATCTAGGTATCAGGCAAAATGCGAACCTACGCCTAATTGGGCAGACATTATCTTCTAATGTAATTTATTACTTTCTTTATCACTCTGAAAGGCATTATAGGCCAAAGCGCCTACTAGAAACCGGAAGCCGCCTACTACAAATATAACCGAAATATAACCATGTCCATTATCCATATTGACGACCTCAGTGGCCGAGTGGTTTGTTCGCTGGGTTTCCAGGTGTGGCCTGCTCGAGAGGTCCCGGTTTCAAATCCCGGTGGGGGCAGATATTGTGTGATGAATACGAGCATTTCTACTCCAGTCGTGGATGTTTAATATGTATTTCTATATAAATATACTTAAATATCTTTATGTATATAATTCTTCTGTGAGTGTGTATGTCACTGAACTTCTCTTAAACGACTGGACCGATTTTGATGCAATTTTTTGTGTGTGTTCAAGGGGATCTGAGAATGGTTTACATTCATGATTTTGTCCGCTGGACACCCCTATTTTTTTAGGGCGGTACGAAGTTCGCTGGGTCAGCTAGTGTATATGTAAAATTTATCCCATAAAACAAGCCTACAGTGCTTACTTCGGGCTAGGCTAATTGGTGTAAGTTTGGAAATATTTATTTATAATTTTATTATTATCTTCTTCTACCACCAACTCCTATTTTGTTATGGCGGTACGAAATTCGCTGGGACAGCTAGTATACAGATATAATTATTAAGAAATGGATTGTCTTATTGTATATTTGACGATCTACGTAGTGTGAGTGGTAAGTCCTAGATTCGAATCCCTGTGGGGTAAATGCTTGTATGATGAATACGAGGATTTGAACCTAAGTCATGGTTGGATATATATATTTTTACAAAAATCCTAGTATCCCTTATAACAAGCCTTACTTTGCTAACTTTGGGATAGGCTATACTCATGTGTAAAAAATATTTATTTATATGGGCCCAAGTACACACATTGCGAAGGCTTGTTTTTATGTTTTAATAATGGAAAACAAGCGTTCGTACCCCCTGATGGTAATGGCCCAGACTCTCAATTCCATCCATAGGGAAGGACTGTGCCCCAGCGGTGGGGACATTAATTGGCTGATGATGATACTTAAATGTATCAGCATATGTATTCTATCGGTTACCCTTAGTATAACGAGCCTCAGGTACCTAAATTGCGGAGACTTGCTTTTATGTTATAAAGGTGGAAAACAAGCGTACAGACCGATGATAAGCGGTTCAAAAAAATAAAGTATAGCAAGAGAACCTGCGGGTGATGGTGCGGATGGTGTGGATGGTTTTGCGGATGCGGCGCGCGATGCAGCGGCGGCGGCGGCGGGTGATACGGCGGCGGCGGCGTCCGGCGCGGCCCGCCCTGCAACACGCCGCCTTTACCACCACACTGCCATTTCGTACACAGAGCTTTAATACAACCAACCGAAAAAAAACATGTCCCTGGTGCTAAGCAAATCAAACCTCGACGTCTACCACGCTTGCGTGAGCGCACGTCAAAGTATACTTGCACCTACGAGTAGCCCTCGGGCTGCTCTGCGGGCCGAATGTACTACGCAATTAACTACGTTACGGGGGATGGTTTGCTGGCAACTACACCCCGGCAAACTTCTTGAGCAACAACCATAGACAAGGAAGCCTGCGCTGTAGCAATTTTACATACAAAAACGTCTACTGCACCAGTTGAATTGCCTGTGAGCAAAACTTATAAAATTTGCCGCTACCTATACTGAGACCTTATCTCCCAAAAATTATAAAAACAAAAGCATCATTGGATGTATCGAGCCTTTTCCAACACCTCATGGGTTGCAAGGTAGTGCCAATTCTAAGCCAACAGGACCCAGGAAGTGTCTGAGGAGATCCGACACGTCGAATGATGCTTATTCTACGAGTACTATGTTTTTTGGTAAAGGCACTATTCAGTTTATTTATACTATTTAATAATTTTCTTTTCTTTTTTTCACAACCAGCAACTACGAGGAGTCGGTAAACACTATTTACATGTAAGATAGTTAAACTCTTAGGTATTAGGGTTATTATTTTAGTATCTATTTATTTTGTTAATATTATAAATAGGTACAAAGACATCGAATGGGCATAAGTACGATAAATGTGTGAAAACATTTCTTGTCTTGCTAAGTTAAAATTTATTGAAATGAGGAATACCCACTTTTTCTGATTCTAATTGAACTCACTATTGAATACTGAGAATACTGATCGTGAATAATTAACATTAAGAAAGTCTGTTTAACTTTGAGGCAGAATAACTTTAATTTGTAATTATTCGGTGTGTACTAAAATGACTTACATATTTTTTTCTGTCATACCATTCCGATTCCGTTTTTTTCCTGGTTGTGCAGTAGGTACCTAAGTGGCACATGGTTATTTATTTTTCAAACACAAAACAACAAAAGAGTCTACACAAATCGCAGCGCAGAAGATGGTACCATCCATCGCAAGCGTTCGCATAGCGTAGTTTATCTTGTAATTTGTAAGTGCAAACATACTCATTCTCATTGTTGACTGCAGAGTCACTTTCCCAGAGCGAAGTGATAGTAAATTTTTATTTATTATTTAAATAGTATAAGGCAGCTGCGCAATTATATAATGACAATGAGTATTGCACGAATCTGTACCTGCATCGAGTTTCCTGGACTACCCTGGTCGGAGCCTGGGGGAGTCAGCGGGGACATGTATCCCAGGCGTGAGGGGGGGTACTTGGCGAAAGAAGGTGCCGGCAGCTGCGGCTGATGCTGCGGCGGCGGCGGCTGTGCGTACGTAGGCGGTATGCACAGCCTCTCCGTCTTAATTTCCAGAGGACTGAGCAACGGGGTCGCGCATTCTTCCAGCAACGGGTCATCAGCCTCGAGTTTGACGTGCGTGGCTCCGAGCGGCGCAAGCATGTTGGCGTTCTCGGGGTCGATGTTCCTGATGGAGGAGGCGATGTCCTCCCAGAGGGCGGGGCGCAGGAAGGCATCGTCGCGGGAGGAGGGGCCACCGTCGAAGAGGTCCATGTGCGCGGGCGCCAGTCCGGCGCCCTCCTGCTTGCACAGCAGCGACTCAAGCTCAGATGTCTGCAACAAAAACATACCAATGTTACATTATAATAGTATCTTTACTTTACCATCCAAAGCGCATTACAGCTTTAGATAACTAAAAAATATATATAATATGCTAAAAGTTTAACCTTAGATTGTTTTCATAAAAATATTCTATGATGTGACTTTCTTTCAAGGTGATATTTAGTACAACGATTACAGATTTGCAATTAAGTAAATTTTTTAAATGGTAAAATTGCTTTGAATGACTTTGAAACTGCATGACTGATTTTATTTGCAAAACACATACGTGCATTAAGCAACCGAAGCGATCGTAGTATGTGAGTATGACACATTTTAAAGTATCAATTATTATGTTTTAACTATATTTTTGACGGTTAACATAATATTAACTAGCTGACCCAGCGAACTTCGTACCGCCATAAAAAAATAGGGGTTGGTGGTAGAAAAGTGAAACTTTAGGGTTGTATGTATTTACTAATGCTGTATCATAAAAAAAATTGGGGTGGATTACCCTTAACATTTAGGGGGATGAAAAATAGATGTTGTCCGATTCTCAGACCTACCCAATATGCACACAAAATTTCATGAGAATCGGGAAAGCCGTTTCGGAGGAGTTTAACCACAAACACCGCGACACGACAATTTTATATATTCGATATTATAGCCAATGTATGTAATAAAACCACAATTTTGAGTGAAAAATGCCAAATTATCTACTCGAATTACAATGGTAAGGATTATTATACGAGTATATCTTATTTTTGGTGCTTTTTAGCGGTCCCCTCTATCTGGCAATTTTGTTGCTCCGAAATTCATTTGGCATAACCATGGCAAAACACACTTGCATAATCTTCCTTAAACGATTATTAAAGCATATGTTTTGCTATGGATATAAATGTGTTTCGGAATTATATACATTCAGCTAAACAATAATCATTGTGTAGCTGAAAGTTTGTAAGTCTAAAAACACAATGGCATACTTTTAAATTCGCAGAATTTTGTTACGCACAATAAAATTACCCTTAGCAAAATTTAATTCTGCATAATTTTGTTAAGGGTGACGTTTATAAATGTTTAATTTAATCAGCTACCTGAACCATAATGGATAAATAAAACTAGAATAAGTAAAATATTTGTATGCCAAAAGATGATTCCGACTATAGTTTATCTTCGATAAGAAGACTCTACTTTTAAAATTGTTGTGGATATTAAATGATTCTGGCTAACAAACTTATGCGTTTCATTGTCTGCTAAATTAGTGAATGCTAAATGTCATCCGCTGATATTCATAATAATATCTATTACATTAAAGTTATGCGATAGGTAAATTCCTTTTTCAGTCTTGCTAATGGGTTTGACATAAACCTACGTCCAACCCGTTGTTAACAACCCCATTAGATTTCGATTTTATTTTATTTTTTATTCGTTTAATATTTTGCATATGTGTATTTGCTTTTTTTGCGTCTGTATATTAGTTATTAGTATTATTTATATATTGAATTTTTCATGTGACCTTCTAACCAGCTCGACACAGGCAGGAATAAGTAGAAAAGTAGAAGGTAGGTACATAAAAAATCAATCCTCTGGAAACACTATTATGCAGATCTGGGCATTAAAGCCCAATCAATCTAAAGTGGCATGCCACAAATGCCATTAATCACCGCGGGAGATGAAGTTGACGATATTGTGTCAGTCGGAATAATTCCCGAGGAGCAGATCTGTCCCGCACATTACCATACAATGGGTCTGCCTACGCACGCGCAGGTGACGAGGCGAGAGCTTTCTTGCACCAGAGATGAACTAAGGAAAAATACAGAAACATTATTCTCGGAATACGCGGCAGCGTAAAACTCAGAGATGATTGGAAAAAAAACTAAGATTCAAATTTATTACAAGAACAGTTTTTACAACATTTGTAATAACAAACTTATCTTAATCAATCTATTAAGTTTAGTTTGAAGTGATCTAACACTGTTGTAGTCTGAATGTGATCATACTCTAAGAACCCTGAATACAAACGCAGGTATGGGACTCCAGTAGAGAAAAACGTTTGTTTAATCAAAATTAGCATATGAACAAGCTTTGCTATGGATTTAAAATTGTTGAGTGCTTTCTCTTTATTTTATTCTTCTATTGATGGATGAAGAATTAGTATGAATAAAATAGTATTTACTTCCTCGTCTCAGCAACAATCAGGAGTCATTCTGAATAAGTTGCAATAAACAATCAAATACCCAAAAATAAACTATCAATTTGATAACGCAGCATGATCTGATTTGATTGCAGTCGTTAATACCCATATTTATTTTTGAAATCTTTGTCTTTGTTATGGTAAATGTTATGTAAGCTTTTAGGTATAAGGTTTATTGCCCTATTTGTGTGATATGATAGAATAAGATCGGTTCGAAGTACGGAGCGTAGTACGGAATAATAATCGTAAATGCTTTTTATCGTTCCCTAAGCATAAATTAATAAGCGGTGACTACTGGGTGATCAATTTATTAATAATTCGCCACATCGAAAATAAAGTACCTTTATCAGTCAATTTTATTGTATCATGCTTGCTCATGTATTGCCTCAGTCTGACACTGCGTTAGTTACGAGACGACACGATCTATTTAGTGTTATTGTCAGCTTCAGAACTAGTTCAGGTAGGGTCAGACTCCAACGCTATCACTATCATAATAAAGTGCACTCCGCAGGGCGCCTCACGAGGCCTGCGGTTGACGCGGGTGGTAGTTGGGATGGACGGACTAATCTGGACATTTACTATAATGTTACGGAACAACTGAGACAAAGAAATGTAAAAATTATAGGTAAGAGTAATGTTTTTTATGTTAAAAGGGTGGCAAACAAGCGTATGTTAAGCGGCCACCATAACTTATAGACGCTTGTAATACTATGATCTTTTTTAATGTAGAGGTTGCTCCCCCAGACGGGCGGTCCAATTCGAGCACTTCTTCTGTCAGCTACTTCAAAACTTGGACAGCATTCACATTTTAGATCAAATAATTTGTTTCTCATTTGTAAAGTAATACTCTCGAATCAATAGACAAGTAAGGGTGGTTTCTGCCGAGACAGCAATGTTACATCTGTACAACATTCACAATTAACATCAAGTTTCTAGTTTGCTTCACATTCACTGTTTCGTAAATATATATTCTCGAATAGACTCATTTCAACGATCGTATCGTGTTAGGTATTAGGTGTTATTAAGAAACAGTAGTGATTGACATACTGCTGAAGGGCTGTGGTAACGAGTCACTATTGTTTCCGAATAATATCCGACGCCACTGTCCATAGGCATATACTGTTTGATATAATTGTTTAATATTATTTTTTATGATGAGATCACCAGCATTTTAATCACACTTAAATACGTGACGGTAATCCAATCCGATGAAATGTACATGATATAATTCTGACAAGGTAGACCCCTTTTTCAGTTGGTTACCAGTTCAGTTACGAATGGGTTGGACTCAACGCTGTTTTTATAAAGAAATATGTATATAAGAATTCACTCATATGCTCGCGATGATCTCAAATCTACTGAAAGGATTTTCTTTGGCTTTCTCTTACAATATGATATTTTTTCACAGAAGAGTTATATTATGAATAAAAGAGCAAAAACTTTAGTCTACGCCGAAGCGTAATGAGGTCGGGTCACTATAATTACCTACATGCTAAATTAAAACCGTACCTAAGTATATCGACATTAGTTTCTAAAATGGTAATTTATATCTGCTTATAACTGTGTAAATAATGTCTGTCTAATGGTGGTCTACCTGTTACTGCAATAAAATGCCATGACTGACGTTACTAAGAGCTGAAAACGCTAGCAACACGTGGCCCATTTGAATTTGCATCAAGAAATTTATTGTGCTCATTACCCACCCATACTCCGTGAAGTTGCATCTCTGATAAGCTTATGGTAGGCTTAGGTCTGTATCAAATCGAAAATTTGTTGAAATATTAAATGCCTCTGCATAAGAAGAAGGGGGAAAGGCATCTTTCAATTGAAATCTTTCGGTTCAAAAGAGATTTCTCATATTGCGGAAAAACTTATTATATTTTGGATTCTTACAAAGGCAATACATTACGTAGGCAGTTGTTCCACCGCCGGCGAGGAAGTGACTAATTATCGGCTATTTTCTCGCTCAAGAAACGTACAATTGATATACATTCCGTGTAAACAAAAGAGATGCATATATTAACACTATTAATTTAATAGTCGCTGAATGTTCACACTGCCGGCGAGATTTCTCTCCACCAGTTTGTCATTGAGCAACAAAACCTATCAAAGATAATGCTCAGCGGTACTGGCTTAAGTAGCGATGCTCGCTTGTCGCAAAGCGCGAGCATGCATTTTTGCTCCGAATTGACTCGGCGAGCGAGCGGCGAGAGTAACGGCCCGCCGTACGCTCACTTATAGTCCAGCGGTAAAACTATCGGAACTACACACTCGCTTTCCTTTGCTCGCTCGCTTCTTTCTAATTTCTGGCTCCGCTCGCTACGTATACCTTCTCTAGATTATTTATACAGGGTCATGTAAACTAATAATATTTGCAGGTGTTTTAACATAATATTATTTTCGGAATAAGTGATTATTTTAATGTGTTTGCTTTCCTTTATAATTTCAATGATAAGAGGACATACATATGTAAATAAGAACACTTATCGATAAGCGTGTTCATTGTCTTATCTTATATTTACATTGGCCATTGTTTACTTAAAATGCAAAGGGGAGGGGCTTTATCGCTACATAGGTATTACAATTTTCGTAGGTACCTACTTATTTCATCATACACTTTGTATTTTGGGTATGACTCAGTTAAGTTTTTTTATATATGATATGTATAAGTATTTCATTTTGTGATAATATCTTCCTATCATTGTAGCATAATAAAGAATACGCGGTACTTACATTAATTAATTCAATGGACAACAATATTTTTGGAATAGGTTCCATTCCAATAAATGCTCCTTAGATTTAAGGCAAAACAAGTGCAACTTTTTAAGTTGCGATG